GTTATATGTAGACAGTAAGCAGCAGTCCGTCGACAGTACGTGATAGGTCGTAGTAGTAGAAGAAGAGCACCAGTGTGAGGTAGTAGTAGTAGTCGTCGCAGTCACAGTCGTCGTCGTAGTCCTCGTCGTAGTCGTAGTGGTAGTCGTAGTAGTAGCTGTGGTAGTAGATGAAGTAGTAGTAGTAGTAGTGGTAAGTGGTAAGTGGTAAGTGGTAAGTAGTAGTAGTAGTAGTAGTAGTAGTAGTAGTAGTAGTAGTAGTAGTAGTAGTAGTGGTAGTAGTAGTAGTAGTAGTAGTAGTAGTAGTAGTAGTAGTAGTAGTAGTAGTAGTAGTAGTAGTCGTAGTAGTAGGTAGTCGTAGTAGTCGTAGTAGTCGTAGTAGTCGTAGTAGTAGTAGTAGTAGTAGTAGTAGTAAGGAGTAGTAGTCGTAGTCGTAGTCGTAGTCGTAGTCGTCGTAGTAGTAGTAGTAGTAGTAGTAGTAGTAGTAGTAGTAGTAGTAGTAGTAGTAGTCAGTTAGTAGTAGTAGTAGTAGTAGTATAGTAGTGTAGTAGTAGTAGTAGTAGTAGTATAGTAGTCGTAGTAGTAGTAGTAGTAGTAGTAGTAGTAGTAGTAGTGGTAGTAGTAGTAGTAGTAGTAGTAGTAGTAGTAGTAGTCGTAGTAGTAGTAGTAGTAGTAGTAGTAGTAGTAGTAGTAGTAGTAGTGGTAGTAGTAGAAGTAGTAGTAGATGTTGTCGTAGTAGTCGTAGTAGTAGTGGTAGTAGTAGTAGTAGTAATAATAATAGGAGTGGTAGTCGTAGTAGTAGTAGTAGTAGTAGTAGTATTAGTAGTAGTAGTAGTGGTAGTAGTAGTCGTCGTCGTCGTCGTCGTCGTCGTCGTCGTCGTCGTCGTCGTGGTCGTCGTGGTCGTCGTCGTCGTCGTCGTCGTCGTCGTCGTGGTCGTCGTCGTCGTCGTCGTCGTAGTAGTAGTAGTAGTAGTAGTAGTAGTAGTCGCAGTATTTCTATGAGTAATTGTTGTTGTGGTTGTTGCAGTACTAGTCGTAGTACGTCCAAAGAGATGTTCATAGCCTTAAGTGGTTCACCACTGGAACCCAAGGTTGTCCTGAGGAGCTGCGGCGTCGGGAGCTGTGTAGTTGTCAATAAAGTTGTTGTTGTTTTTCCATGGGGCTTATAGGTGCTTGCAGTTTTTTGACGGCTTTGGTGCCATCGTGGGGGCGTGTTACCCGTGGTATCCCGCTGTGGGGCCGTTCGAGCCGGGGGAAGAGACATCTTATGCGATAGGGGAACCCTCGTGTCGGAGGGTGGCGGGCTTTGAACGCTAACATTGGCTCTGTTATCGTCCTGATGTCCTCTGGCGTTGCGGACACAGGCGTGAAGGAACACTTTCTTGTGGCGTTTCTCTTACCATCTCTTTTCTAATTGGACCCTCCTCCCTACTTTTTCTTTCTTCCCTTCGGTGAGCTAGAGAGAAGGGGGCCGGTAGCAGCGGAGGGAGGCGGCAGTGCAGAGGCGGGAAAAGGACGACGAGGAAGGGGAGCAGGAGGAGCAGGAGGAGGAGGAGGAGGAGGAGGAGGAGGAGAAAAATCAGGAGGCGCAAAAAGGGATTGTATGGTTGCAGTGAGGGAAGGAGGATGATGTAAAGTGACCCGGGGTTGGAGCGGAAAGGAGAGACGGAGGGGAACCGAAAAGGTTGAGACGCCCAAATCTGTCCAAAACCTATGGAAAAAAACATTGTTTGTTTGCCTCTTGGGGCCCTCTTGGGAATGCAATTGGAGACCTCCTGGGGATCTTGGAGGCTTCTTGGGTCATCATGGAAACGTCTTGGGCCGTCTGGAGGCCATCTTGGGCGACGTGGAGCGATTTTCGGGCGTCTCGGACCTCTCTTGGACCGTGTTGGGGGCGTTCTTGGGGCCCTCTTGGGCCGTCCTGGAGGCCTCTGGGGCCGTCTTGGAGCCGTCTTGGGCCGTCTTGGGGCCCTCTTGGGGGCCTCTTGGGCCCTCTTGGGGCGATCTTGGAGGCCTCTTGAGCCGTTTAGGGGCGTCGGGGAACCGAAAGGTTAAAACGCCCAAATCTGTCCAAAACCAAAAGGAAAAACACAGCTTTTTGCCTCTTGGGGCCCTCTTGGGAGTTCTCTTGGAGGCCTCTTGGGGCATCTTGGAGGCTTCTTGGGCCATCTTGGAGACGTCTTGGGCCGTCCGGAGGCCATCTTGGGCGTCGTGGAGCGATCTTCGGGCGTCTCGGACCTCTCTTGGACCGTGTTGGGGGCGTTCTTGGGGCCCTCTTGGGCCGTCTTGGAGGCCTCTGGGGCCGTCTTGGAGCCGTCTTGGGCCGTCTTGGGGCCCTTTTGAGGGCCTCTTGGGCCCTCTTGGGGCGATCTTGGAGGCCTCTTGAGCCGTTTAGGGGCGTCGGGGAACCGAAAAGGTTGAAACGCCCAAATCTGTCCAAAACCGAAGAAAAAGCATTGAGTTTTGCCTCTTGTGGCCCTCTTGGGAGTGCTCCTGGAGGCCTCTTGGGGCCCTCTTGGGGCGATCCTGGAGGATCTGGGGGAGTGTCCCGGGCGTGTCCCGGGCTCCTCTCGGGGTACTTTTGATCCAGGGACCCCCAGGGGCCGCCCCACGCGCGCGAACCAGAAATACTGTTTACCAGTTACCGGAGATCTTAGCACGCCCCTGGCCCGTTGGGCCGGCGAATTTGGGAGCAGCTGACGGTCAGTGGGGGGCAACCGAGGGTCAGTTGGAGGCAACTGAGGGTTAGTTGGAGGCAACTGACCAGGTCAGTCGCGGGGCTTCATCGCTGGGAAGAGATTCGAGAGGCCACAAGGCCGCAGGGTCGCGCGGTTGCGGGTGTCTGCTTTCCCGGGACAGAGTCGAGATGGCACAGGGTTGCGGGGCCGTCTGCCTTCTTTCAGGAGGGAAGAAAACACACAGACACAATTAATCGTCGATTCCCCAGAAAATATGGGAAAATATGGGAAGTGGGGGGGAAGACAAAAACCCAGAAAATATGTAAAAAGATAGGGAATATTTTTATTTGTGTGTATTTATTTGTGTGTCCCAGGGCCCCTTCATTCTTATGAGGAAGTTGAGATGGCACAGGGTTGCGGGGCCGCGGGTTTTGCGGGATTTGCTCCCTCCCGGGAGCGTGCGGAGATGGCACAATGGTTGCGAGTCGCGGGGTTGCGGGATTTTCCGCTTCCCGGGGAAGGGCCGAGATGCCACAGGGGTTGCGGGGTCGCGGGGTTGCGGGGTTCTGTTTTGCCGTGTGAAGAGTCGAGGTGGCACAGGGCTGCGGGGTCGCGGGGGTGCGGGAGTCTCCCTCCCGGAATAGAAACGAGATGGCACGGTGTCGCGGGGTTGCGGGCTCTTGTACCTTGTGGAATAGTCGAGGTGCCGCAGGGTCGCAGGGTCGCGGAGTTGCGGGATCCTGTCTTCCTGGGAGAATCGAGATGGCACAGAGTTGCGGGGTCGCGGGGTTGCGGGGTTCTCCTTCTCGGGATATAGTGTAGATGGCGCAGGGTTGCGGGTTTACGGGCTTGCGGGATTCTCCTCCCTGGGAGAGAGTCGAGATGGAACAGGGTTGCGGGGTCGCGGGGTCGCGGGAGTCTTCCTCCTGGGAGAGAACCGAGATGGCACAGGGTCGCGGGGTCGCGGGGTTGCGGGATGCTGCTTCTTGGGGAGAGTTGAGGCCACAGGGTCGCGGGTTCGCGGGGTTGCGGGACTCTGCCTCCCTTGGAGAGAGTCGAGATGACACAGAGTTGCGGGGTCGCGGGGTTGCGGGATTCTGCTTTCTTGGGATAAGGTCGAGATGCGGCAGGGTCGCGTGGTCGCGGGGTTGCGGGATTCTCGCCCCTGGGAGAGAAACGAGATTGCACCGGGTTGCGGGGTCGATTGGTTGCGGGATTCGCCGTTGTGGGAGAGAATCGAGATGGTACAGGGTCGCGGGGTCGCGTGGTTGTGGGATTCTCTTTCTTGGGAAAGAATCGAGAAGGCACAGGGTCGCGGGGTCGCGGGGTTGCGGGGTTGCGGGATTTTATCTTTCGGAAAAGACCCGAGAGGCCACAGGGTTGCGGGGTCGCGGGGTTGTGGGATTCTGTGTTCCGGGGTCAGAATCGAAGTGGCACAGGGTTGCGGGGTTGCGGGATTCCACTTCCCGGAGAGAGACTCAAGATGACACAGGGTTGCGGGGCCGCGGGGTTGCGGAGTTCTATGCCCCTGAGGGAGATTCCCTGACTCCCTAAAAGTTTCAGATGCGCAGGGCTGGGCTGCCTCAGACAGCGGCCGCTCCCAGGGGGGAGGGGTCGACCGGCCAGGGCCTACAGACTCCGTTGCACGGGAACGCGGCCAGCTCAGCAAGGACCCGGTAGAGCTCATGGCGGCACCGCCCGGCAGCCGCGCGGCGCCCGTCGCCCGGGCCAGCGCGCCGGCCCCGGCGAGCCCGCGCCGAGCGCGCGCGGCCCAGCGACTGCTGTCCGCCCAGGGCAGCCCAGCCCCAGCGCAGCTCGGCGCTGCAGGAGGAGCGGCTGCGCCCGTGCCGCCGGGGTCGCCGCGGCGTCCGGAGGCCGAGCCGGGGCCGCTCGGCCCAGCGAGGGCCGCGCCGCCGAGGCCTCAGCGCTCAGTCTGGCGCGGCACTCGGGCGGGCCGGGGCCGCCGGGGCCCGCCGGGCGCCGCGCCGCGCTGCCGGGCAGGGTGGCCGTGCGGTAGGCCTCCGCGTTGCCGCTGTGCAGCGCGGTGGCCAGGCTCTGCCGCGCCGCCGTCAGCGTCGCCGGGTCTCCCGCCGCCCAGCTCCTCAGCAGCGCCTCCTCCTCTTCTTCTCCTCCTCCTCCTCCTCCTCCTCCTCCTCCTCTTTCTCCTCCTCCTGCTCCTCCTGCTCCTCCTGCTCCTCCTCGTCCTCCTCCTTCTTCTCCTCCTCCTTATCCTCCTCTTCCTCCTCCTCCTTCTCTTCCCTCCCCCTCCCCCTCCCCCTCCTCCCCTTCTCCTCCCTCCCCCCTTCCCCCCTTGGCGTGGTGGAGGCTCAAGAAGGCAGACCCCGAGTGGATCTTGGCTGCGCTGCAGAAGGTCGCGGAGAAGCTGCCCGAGAGCTGTGCCAGCATCACCCTCGTGACGGACTCGGAGGACAAGGAGTCCTCCCAGAGTGTCCGCGGCTTGGTTGTTTCGCCTGCGTCGCGGTCGGTCACATTCGGTTGGTGAGGTTCGGTCGGTGGTTGTGTCACTGCCGCGTCGCTGTGCCTTTTGGGCTGCAGTCGGTTCGATGGATTTGCGACTGTGCCGTCGCCGTGGATGGCCTTCGGAGGGATGCCAACTATGCACCACCACCTGCCCTGGCCAGGCACTTCTGGGCCCTGGATCGGCGTTCAGACCTCCTGGCGCGCCGCCGTCGCTCGATCGTTGTCGTCAATCGTCAATCGTGGTGGTCGTCGTCGATCTTCGGTCGTCGGTCGCCGACCGTCGTCGTCGTCGTCGTCGTCGTCGTCGTCGTCGTCGTCGTCGTCGTCGTCGTCGTCGCTCGATCGTTCGAGGTTCGAGGATCTGGGTCTGGAGACATCCTTCGTCCTCTTCGGGGCCCTGCTCCAGAGGTCTCTGGCCGCCGCGGCTGGATTCCCTCGGGACGGGTCCGAGGACTCAGTCTTCGGCGGCAGGTTGCCGTCGTTGCCGATCGTCGATCGATCGTCGTTGCCGCCGTTGTCGATCGTCGATCGATCGTCGTTGTCGTCGTCGATCGTCGATCATCTTTGTCGTTGTCGTCGTCGATCGTCGATCGCCGATCGTCGTCGTCGCTTGTGGTCGTCGTCGATCGTTGTCGTCAATCGTCGTTGTCATCGTCGTCGTCGTCGATCTTCTTTGGTCGTCGGTCGTTGATCATTGTCGTCGTCGCCGTCGTCGATTGTTGAGGATTGAAGGTATTTAATTTTAACATCTCTCTTTCTTTGTGGGGGTTCTGGGGGTCTCTGGAGGCCTTCACTCCTTCCTCTCGTCCTTCTCTTCTTCCATGCCTTCGTCCTCCTCGTCCTCCCCTTCTGCTCCTCTTGCTCCTCTTCCTCCCGTCCTCTTCCCCATCTCCAACCGCCCAGGGGCTCCATCTTGTTTATCAGCGCCCGCGTTAGTAGAAACGGGCAGGATGTACACGAGTGAGGTGGGTGAGGGAACGGGAGTTGGGCGAGAGAGTTCAGAAGGGAACGTAACGAACAATGGCGGAAGGACGAGGGATGAGCGAGCAACGGGAATATCATAAGAAAATAAAGCGGATGCCAGTCGGAATGAAAAGGTGTGCTTCAGGCAATCCCGAATGGCAGTGCAAGGGAGGCAACGCATTGCAGTGATAGTGAGAGATCGAGGGGGAACCGGAAGGGCCTGTCTTTCTCCTCCTCCTGGTGATGGCGAGCGGACTCAGCACAAAACACGGCAATGAGGAGGTGCATGGCGGCGAAGGGGCAATTTGAAGAACCGCCAGATCCAGTCTTGGAGGTTCTTTTTCTCTTTGGTTCTGTAAAGAATTGGAGTGATCTGTCGGTGTTTAGCCAGGGTTTGTCAAACGATCCCGTTGATGAGTTTCGTGCATGAGGTCTCGCTTATCTGGTGGTCGAGGGTTTGGGTTGGTGGCTGTCCGCTGTCCGTTTGGGTTGGTGGTTGGGGCGGTCGTTGTGTCGCTTGGGGGCTGGTTCGTGGCTGCTCACTCGGGCCCCGCCCGTTGGGCGGTGGTGGGGAACCGCTTGTGATTGCCATCGGATTCAGCCCATAGGGTTCCTTGTACAGTGTTCCACTTAAGAGGTGGTCGTGGGAGTTGGTCGGTGAATGCCCAGGGGATCCCGCCCACAGGGTGGTCGTGGGTTCTGGGTGGCAGTTGCTCAGAGGGTTCCGCTCGCGGGGTGGTCGCGGGTGCTGCTCGGTGGTGGCTGCCGGTAGGTATTGCCGCTCATGTGGTGGTCGCGGGGGTTCGTCGGTGATTGTCTCCTCCTCCTCCTCCTTCTGCTCGTCCTTCTCCTTCTCCTCCTTCTCCTCCTCCCCCTCCTGCTCCTCCCTCCCTCCCTCCCTCCTCCCTCCTCCATCACTCCCTCCTCGCTCCCTCCTTCCTCCCTCCTCCCTCCTTTTCCTCCCTCCCTCCCTCCCTCCTCCCTCCTCCCTCTTCCCTCCTCCTTCCTCCCTCCTCCCTCACTCCCTCCTCCTCCTCCCCTCCCCTCCTCCTCCTCCTCCTCCTCCTCCCTTTCCTCCTCCTCCTCCTCTCCTCCTCCTCTTCTTCCTCCCTCCTCCTCCTCCACATCTCTCCTCTCTCCTCCTGCTCCTCTCCTCCTCCTCTTTTCCTCCTCCTCTTCCTCCTCCTCTCTCCTCCCTCCCTTCCTCCTCCTCCTCCCTCCTCTCCTCCCCTCCTCTCCTCCTCTTCCATCCTCCTCCTCCTCCCTCCTCCTCCTCCTCTCCTCCTCCTCCTCCTCCTCTCTCCTCTTCTCCTCTCCTCCTCCTCCTCTCTCCTCCTCCTCCTCCTCCTCCTCCTCTCCTCCCTCCTCCTCCTCTCTCTCCTCCTCCTCCTCCTCCTCCTCCTCCTCCTCCTCCTCCTCCTCCACTCCTTCTCCTCCTCCTCCTCCTCCTCCTCCTCCTTCTTTTACATCTTTTACCTCTTCGTTTTAAGGCCCTGCCGCCCCACGGCAGGAGGGTGGCGAGGTCGGCAAGATCGTGAGCAGGTTCGCCAGCCGGACGAACGGCAGGACCGGGCTCGTTGGCGCGCGCGCAGATCGAGGAGTCGGAGGAGTCGGAGGAATCGGAGGAGTCGGAGGAGTCGGAGGAGGAGGAGGAGGAGGAGGAGGAGGAGGATGAGGCGAAGAAGGAGGAGTCGGATGAGTCGGATGAGTCGGAGAAGTCGGAGGAGTCGGAGGAGTAGAAGGATTCTGAGGAGTCGGAGTCGGAGTCGGAGTCGTCGTCGTCGGAGGAGGAGGAGGAGGAGCAGGAGGAGGAGGAGCAGGAGGAGGAGGAGCAGGAGGAGGAGGAGGAGGAGGAGGAGAGGGAGGAGGATAAGGAGGAGAGGAGGAGGAGGGAGGGAGGGAGGGATGTCAGGAGGGGGAGGGAGGGAGGGAGGGAGGGAGGGAAGGAAAGGGGAGGAGGGGAGGAGGAGGAGGAGGAGAGAGGAGGAGGAGAGGAGGAGGAGGAGGAGGAGGAGGAGGAGGAGGAGGAGGGGAGAGGAGGAGGCGGAGGAGGAGGAGGAGGAGGAGGAGGAGGAGGAGGAGGAGGAGGAGGAGGAGGAGGAGGAGGAGGAAGGAGGAGGAGGAGGAGGAGGAGGAGGAGGAGAGGAGGAGGAGGAGGAGGAGGAGGAGGAGGAGGAGGAGGAGGAGGAGGAGGAGGAGAGGAGGAGGAGGAGGAGGAGGAGGAGGGAGGAGGAGGAGGAGGAGGAGGAGGAGGAGGAGGAGGAGGAGAGGAGGAGGAGGAGGAGGAGGAGGAGGAGGAGGAGGAGGAGGAGGAGGAGGAGGAGGAGGAGGAGGAGGAGGAGGAGGAGGAGGAGGAGGAGGAGGAGGAGGAGGAGGAGGAGGAGGAGGAGGAGGAGGAGGAGGAGAGGAGGAGGAGGAGGAGGAGGAGGAGGAGGAGGAGGAGGAGGAGGAGGAGGAGGAGGAGGAGGAGGAGGAGGAGGAGGAGGAGGAGGAGGAGGGAGGAGGCAGAGGTGGGCGAGGAGCGCAAACATGGGCGAATATTGCCCAAGGCATCCTTGTTACCCCCTCGGGGCTTCCTCGCCGCCGTCGCCTTAGCCGCCGCCGCCGCAGTCGCCACCGCCGCAGTCGCCACCGCCGCTGCCAGCGCCGCCGCAGCGTCGCCGCCGTCGCCTCTGCTGCTGGCGCCATCTTCGCGGCTCCCGCCGTGGTGCCCTCGCCGCAGCTGGCGCCGCCGCCGCCGTAAAGTCATCGCCGCCGCGATGCCGCCGCTGGGATGATGAGGATATTGAGGAACGTGGGGAGTATGCGACGCAGGAGGGGGAGGAGTGGGACGATGAGGAGGAGGGGGAGGAGGAGGATGAGGATCAGGAGGAGGACAAGGGGGAGGAGGAGGAGGAGGAGGAGGAGGAGGAGGAGGAGGAGGAGGAGGAGGAGGAACATGGGTGTGAAAAGTGGCCACGCGGCGAGGAGCGGACAGGGGGAGAGCTCGCTCGGCGGCGCGCCCGGGGGGAAGGTGGAGAGGGCGAGCCTTCACGCACTGCCCAGGGGGCCCACCGGCTTGCCGAGGTGCTTCTCTGAGCCTCCTCCTCCTCTTCCCCCTCCTCCCCCTCCTCCTCCTTCTCCTCCTCCTCCTCCTCCTCCTCCTCCTCCTCCTCCTCTCAGAAGGCTGGAGGGCTTCTGGGCAGCCCCGCCGCCTTCTGGGGAGGCCTGCCCCCTCTCACTCCCCCCCTCTCTGCGCGCCGCCGGGAGGAGGAGGACAAGGGAGAAGTGGGACGTACACGTGGCGGGGGACCAGGCCGGGCGGCCACGACCACTTTCGTGAACGGGAGTGCCTGGGGCCAGGCCCGCTCCAGGAGGGCCACAGATCGGCCCCGCGAGAGTTCAGACTGCCGTCAAGGCGACCCAAGAGAGCCCCGAATCGCTCCCAAGACGGTTCCGAGACTCTGACGGCTCACGAGGCATCTCAACCCGGCCAAGATGCCCCCAATGCGCCCCGACAGCGCCCCAAGAGGACCTCCGAGAGAGCTCCGAGAGGCAAGAGCCGTCCATTTCCAGTATCAGGACGGTACTTTTTGGCAGATTTGCTTTTCCGGTCTGAACACCGTCTGAGAAGACCGAAGATTCCTCACGCAGCCCTTAGACGGCCCTAGAAGCCCCCAAGAGAGGGCCCAGAGACGACTCCGGAGAAGGCTGCCGGGCCCTCCTCCCAAAAAGGTGCCTATCATTCTAGAGCCGTGCCCCCCGCAGCAGCTGGCGAAGCAGCCTTCGGAGACACGGATCGCCCGCCCACGAGGTCTCGAGAGGCTCCATGCCCCGGGAGGCCTGTAAACGCAGGTTTTTGAGGTATGGCCCCAGGAGGCCCAAGCCACGCCGACGGGGGGAAAAAGGGGGAGGAGGAGGAGGAGGAGGAGAAGGAGGAGGAGGAGAAGGATACTTACCATGATGATGCTGCTGCTGCTGATGATGATGCTGATGCTGATGCTGATGATGCTGATGCTGCTGCTGATGATGATGATGCTGACGATGATTATGCTGCTCATGCTGATGCTGATGCTGATGATGATAATGATGATGGCGATGACGATGATGCTGATTCTGATGCTGATGATGATGGTCTTACTGATGACGATATATACATATATATATATGAAGACGATGCTAATGATGATGATGGCAACGACGACGATGATGATGCAGATGGTGGTTGTCATGATGATGAGGATCATGATGATGAAGGAGGTGATGATGCTGATGATGATTCTGATGGTGATGGTGGTGGTGGTGGTGGTGGTGGTGCTGGCGACGATGACGATGACGATTGTAATGGCGACGACGACGATGATGATGACGATGAGGATGATGATGAGGATGCCGATGGCTGCTGCTGATGATGGCATTGACGATGACGGTGATGATGTTGCTGATGATAATGATGATGATGATGCTGCTGATGATGATGATGATGATGAGGACGAGGACGAGGACGAGGACGAGGACGATGATGATGCAGATGCTGCAGATGATGATGATGATGATGACGACGATGATGCTGATTCTGATGATGATCATGACGACGATGAAGATGCTGATGATGCTGATGCTTCTGATGATGATTATGCTGATGATGCTGATGCTGATGCTGATGATCATGATGGTGAGGATGACCATACATGATGATGATGTTGCTGATGCTGATGATGACGATGATGATCATGGTGATGCTGATGCTAATGCTGCTGATGATGATGATTCTGCTTATGACGATGATGATGATGCTGACGATGATGATGATGATTATGGTGGTGATGATGGTAATGCTGCTGCTGATGATGATGGTGATGATGACGTTGTTGATGAAGATGGTGTTCACGATGCTGCTGCTGCTGCTGATGATGATGATGATGGTGATGATGATGATGATGATACTGGTGGTGGTGGGGGTGGTGGTGTTGATGGTGGTTACGATGATGATGATGATGATGATGATGATGATGATGATGATGATGATGATGATGATGATGATGTGATGACGACGACGACGACGACGACGACGACGACGACGACGACGACGACCGACGACGGACGACGACCCCGCCCGACGACGACGACGACGACGACGTGATGATGATGATGATGATGATGATGATGATGATGATGATGATGATGCTGATGATGATGATGTATGATTATGATGGTGCTGATGCTGATGCTGATGCTGCTGATGCTTATGATGATGATGATGATGATGTGATGGTGGTGGTGGTGGTGGTGTGATGATGGATGATGATGATGATGATGATGATGATGTGATGATGTGAGATGAGTAGGAGGGGGAGGGGAGGAGGAGGGAGGAGGAGGAGGAGGGGGTAGGAGGAGGAGGAGGAGGAGGAGGAGGAGGAGGACGCAGAGGAGAAGGAAGGAGGAGGAGGAGGAGGAGGAGGAGGAGGAGGAGGAGGAGGAGGAGGAGGAGGAGGAGGAGGAGGAGTGTCCCATGCAGCCTCGGAGGCCCCCAAGATCGCGCCCACAAGGGCCTCAAGACAGGGTAACCTCGTCGCACTTGGCCAGGAGGGCCTCCAGAGGGGTTCAAGACGGCCCCATGGTCCTAAGAGACCCGCAAGAGAATCGGGGCCCACATTTTCTGACGAGGGCCTCGAGGCGGCCCAAGAGACCCCCAACACGAGCATATAGTCGCCCCAAGAATGCCCTGGCACATTCCCTGGCGCATGGGCTGTTTTGGACACGTTCCCTGGCACATTCCATGGGCCCGCAGGCGCCCAATGTGCATGCGACATGCCGTATATTGGAGGGAAGAGGGCCGCCGCTTGGCTATCTCTCATGTTACCACTGCCGCCATGTCTTCTACCTCAATCTCTAACACCCGAAATTCTAGTTCCTCCTCCTCCTCTTCCTCGTGCTCCTCCTCCTCCTCTTCCTCCTCCTCCTTCCCCCCTCCTCCACCCCTGAGCCCCCCCTGCGCCCCCTCCTGGCGCGCTGGAGCCGGTCGCCAGGAAGATCTCCGTGGTCGGACCCGAGGCGCCGCGCGCCCCCCCAAAGATGGTGATGGTGACGGTGATGTTGACGGTGATGGTGATGTTGGCGGCGACGACGACGACGACGACCGCGGCGAGGATGATGATGCTAATGGTGATGGTGATGGTGATGGTGGTGGTGGTGGCGACGACGTTGATGATGCTGATGATGCTGACGGTGCCGACGGTGACGGGAGGAGGAGGAGGAGGAGGAGGAGGAGGAGGAGGAGGAGGAGGAGGAGGAGGAGGAGGAGGAGGAGGAGGAGGAGGAGGAAGAGGAGGAGGAGGAGGAGGAGGAGAGGAGGAGGAGGGGGAGGAGGAAGGAGGAGGGGGAGGAGGAGGAGGAGGAGGGGAGGAAGGAGGAGGAGGAGGAGGAGGAGGAGGAGAAGGAGGAGGAGCAATAGGAGGGTGGGGCGGAAAACGGATATGAATGGGACTGGGATGATGAGAATGAGCGGATTCGGTTGAAGGCCACCCAAAGGCGGACTTCGGGAACCATTTCCAGGGCATGTAGTTTGTTCCCAACCCTCCTGCGTTGGGTTCTCGTTCTGAATA